ATAATATTTAAATTTATTACAATGACTTTTCTTAATTTATGAAAATTGATAATTTTGCTTGATATTCACGTTGGCTACGAAAATTGAACAAACTTAAAAATTAACCATAAAAGGTTAAAAATTTTGAAGTTTTGTAAATTTAAAAAATTTTTAATTTTACCAATTTTTGGAAATATTATATTCGATTATGATATGGATAATATTGAAATATACAGTTTGGATAAAAATTATACGAAATAAAATATTTTTTAGATTTATTTTCTTTAATTCTTTCCTAAGAAGTTCTAAAACGTTGAGATATTTAATTATTTACATACTTTTTGAACACCCTGTATATTTTTAAACTATAAATTATAATTATTTATAATTAGTTATTACTTTAACAAGTTTCAAAGTTATTTAATTATATCCATTCTTTTTTCACACCCAGTATATTTTTAAAATTATAAATATGCTGAAATATTATTTTTATTATAATAAATTAATTATTTTTAATAATTATAATTAATAATTGGTTTTAATAAACTTTAAATATATTTACCATTATTTCCATACTCCTTGTACATCCAGTATATTTTTTAAATTGTATATTATTTTAATTTTTTCAATTTTAATATTTCAATTATTTTATTAATTAATTAATCTATTTATTTAAGTATTTGTTAATTTATTCATTTACAAGTAAAATTAGCTTACCAAAAAGGAAAACAAATTCTTGTAGCAATGTAAATTAATGATTAAATATTAATATTAATTTAAAGTTTCCCTTTTGATACTTTGTAATTTATATTTATTTATTTATTTATAATTTAAAAAATGAAAATAATCATAATAATTATAATAGTAAAATAAAAATAATTAAATAATTTACAATATTTTTATAAACATACCGGGTGTTTAAAAATATGGATATACTTTCTAAATTGGAATTAGTAAATATGATTACTAAATTGAATTAGTTACTGACTTTTTGCTTTTGAATTAGTAAGTAAATTTTAAATATAATTTAATTTTAATTTTGAATTAGTAGAAATTACTACCATTATAGTATTTACTAATTCCAAACCAAAGTCAGTTATACTAATTCAGTAAACATTTTTGCTAATTCACAAAGTCATAAAAGTTTGACTAATCACTTACAATAACTATGTTCGTGATTTTTAATTTCAAATATTTACGATTTCGATTTCAATTTTATTTATTTAATTTTATTCCTTTGACGAAATGTTAGTGCAACCACTTTTAATTAGATTTTAATAAAGTGACCTGATGATGGTGGCTTACCGTGCCTCCGAAACATCGTCGTTAATAAAGTGAATTTGTTTTATTCACCTGTCTTCCAAAAATCGACTAATTAACAAATAAAACTAATAAATAAATAATAATTAATATACATACTAAGTGTTTAAAAAGTAGAAAAAATAATTAAATGACTAATTAATAAAATTAATAAATAATTAATATACCAGGTGTTCAAAAAGTATGGTTATAATTTAAGAACTTCAAAACTAAATAAAACTAATAACTAATTTTAAACAATTATAATTAATTATAACGAGAAAGTAAAAATAATTATAATTTATAATTTTTTTTAAGTATACCAGGTGTCCAAAAAGTACAGATATAATTCAAGAACTTCAAAACTAATAACAAATTATAAACAATTTTAATTAATTATAATAAGAAAGCAAAAATAATTATAATTTATAATTTTTGTAAATATACCGGGTGTTCAAAAAGTATCGAAATAATTAAATAACTTTAAATTTCTTAAAACTAATAAATATAATTAAATAATCATAGTAATGAAATTAAAATAATTATAATTTAACATTTAAAAAATATACCGGGTATTAAAAAAGTATAAAAACAGGGTGGCCACATGTAAGTAAAGTCAGGGAAAAATATATTTTGTCAGTAAAGTCAGGAAAATAGTATATTGTGTGGCAAGGGCGGAAAGTTGTCAATTCCTGACCGAGTTCGAAATTTGCCGCACGAGCAAAGCGAGGGTGGCAATCGTACGAGGTCAGAATTGACATTTCCGCCCGAGTTGCACACGATATTTTTTGTCCAAATGCGCGATAAACAAGACGCATCCGTAAATTCAAAAATGAATATGCACTAATTATTAAATATGTATAAAACATTTTTATTAAGCCTAAGGCGAGTTCGAATATTTTTGATAAATTTAACAATAAAATTTTACTTAAAAATTGACTCCGTTTTGATTTGAAGTAATAGAAAGTGATAATATAATAATTAGTAGTATTTATTTAATACTGCTAAAGCAGCGGGCGGAAAAGTCGTTTTCCCGCCCGCTGTTAGTAAGCGGGCGGGAAAGTAGTTTTTCTGTCCGCTGTTGGTAGTCGGGCGGCAAAAGCTTACTTTCCGCCCGCTATGCATGCACGGAAAGTCGAGTTTATCGCGCATGTAGGACAAAAAAAATTTTTTGTCAGTAAAGTCAGGGAAATGTCAGGAAAAATTTTTTTGTCAGTGCAATTAAAGAAATCAAGACGGTCATGCAATACATTCTTTGCTCTAAACAAAAAAATTTTTGTCAGGAAAATTCGTTGTTATGTCAGTAAAATGTCAGGAAAATATTGATAAAGTCAATCTTGCGGCCACACCCAGAGAAATGGTATATTTGTCTCAGAACCAACTAGACTTTTTATTTGTTTGAAATAAATTTTATTTGGTTTAAATAAAATTTTATTTATCTCAAATATATGTTTTATTCGTGTCGAATAAAATTTTTATTTAAAAGAAATAAAAAGTCTAGTTGGTTCTGAGACAAATATACGTTTATTTAACTCAAATAAAATATATTTGGTTTAAATAATATTTTTCTCTGGGTGCACCCTGATAAAAATTAAAAAATTTCAAGTATGAAATATTTAAAAATTTTAGAACTTTTTGTAAAAAATTGAAGAAAATAAAAAAAATATCACATTTTCTATAATTTCTGAGCACACGGTAGATTTTAACAGTACTTATATAATTATATTATAAATTATTTTTAAAATCGTTAAAATTTAAAAGTCCAAACATTTTTTAAAAATTAGAAATTGACAATTATTAGTGCAACATGTGTTTAATAGAAGAAAACAAAATTTTCCTTCTAATAACCAATTAATAATAAATTTTAATAGCAAATTTATTCAAATTAAGAAAACGAATTAAATCCTCACAGGAATAATTAAAAAGAAAAAAAAGTATTTGAATTATTGAAAATAATTATATAATTACTTAAAAAATAATTAAACTGCATCGATTGATTCACAACAAAATTTCTAAATAATTAAAACGTAAATATTTTAATACATTAAAAAATGTATGAAAAACATAAATATCGAGACTACTAATCATAATATTAAATTATTGAAATTATTATTATTAGGGAATATTAAATAATGAAAATTCTTTAATAAGAAAATTAATAGTCTATTAATTAAATTATTAAAATTTATGCCAAAAAAGAAATAATAAATTCGTAATTACAATTTCTAATATTTCAAAATTCCCTCTCCCAAAACTATCGACATGAGAATAAACGCTTGACGAGATGAATCCACATATACCAAAATGAATTGCACATAATGACTATTACGTCGAATACACAACCTCAGAATCTATATTGTTAGGAATTTATTTTTATCGAATTTTAAATGTAAGGAAATTTTATTTTCTGGAATTAACATTTTACCGAAAATGAATATGAGAGAATAATTTATGATCGAATCGACATGTGCTGTAATTATAAATTATCATAATTTCTGTTTGTCTGAATTTTAACATAACCTAATTTTAAATGTTAGAATTCTTAAAGTTTGCAAGGAAGATGGAACCGAAATGTAATATAGAGTAAAGGCATTTTCATAGAATTATAGTTTTGAGGATAATAATTATATACACGAATAATAAAGAAATCTATTTTCAAATGTAAATAATAACTGTTGAAACGAATTTGTTTTTCTAGATTTATAATCTGACATAATTTCTATTTGCACAAAAACATAATTAACAGAATTTAGAATGGTCGATTTTTCATTGTGCCGAAAGTTGAAATAGTCGAAATTAAATTAAACCGAATTTTATTTTAAAATTGACCAATCAAAATTTTCAGAAATTATCAAGAAAATTTTGATTGGTCAATTTTAAAATAAAATTCGGTTTAATTTAATTTCGACTATTTCAACTTTCGGCACAATGAAAAATCGACCATTCTAAATTCTGTTAATTATGTTTTTGTGCAAATAGAAATTATGTCAGATTATAAATCTAGAAAAACAAATTCATTTCAACAGTTATTATTTACATTTGAAAATAGATTTCTTTATTATTCGTGTATATAATTATTATTCTCAAAACTAATTCTATGAAAATGCCTTTACTCTATATTACATTTCGGTTCCATCTTCCTTACAAACCTTACAAACTTTAAGAATTCTAACATTTAAAATTAGGTTATGTTAAAATTCAGACAAACAGAAATTATGATAATTTATAATTACAGCACATGTCGATTCGATCATAAATTATTCTCTCATATTCATTTTCGGTAAAATGTTAATTCCAGAAAATAAAATTTCCTTACATTTAAAATTCGATAAAAATAAATTTCTAACAATATAGATTCTGAGGTTGTGTATTCGACGTAATAGTCATTGTGTGCAATTCATTTTGGTATATTATGTGGATTCATCTCCGCTTGCCAACATAAATTTCTCGTTACCATCTAGCAGACGACAAACAATGATTCATTGTTGTCATTTCGTACCTTCAAAACGCAACAACAGCAACACGAGAAAAAAGTAACACAAAATATAAATAAACACGTGTCTTTTTCTTTAAGAAAATAAATGAATGTGTATAAGATTCTTTTTTTCTCTCCACTTTTCTTTCTTTCCCATTATAATTCGTGAAAAAGAGTTATATTTTTCTTTTTTCGATAAGATAATGTTTTTGAATGAAAAAAGGTTAAGTTATTTCGTACACACATTGACCCTAACCCCACCACGTGTCATTATTATACATTCGATTGTGCCGTGACAACCGGATTTTTTTTTCCAACTAAAAGAGTGGGTACAGGAATTTATTACACTCGCACACACATTCACACTCACACACTCGTTTTAAAGTCTAGCTATGGGAACTCACTTTCTGGATTCATTTCATTCACAACACTTGTCTCATCGCGAGTAGTCGCTTATTTCCTTGGAGTGCCTTCGAGTAAGACACCGTTCGAGTAAATAAAGAAAGAAAAAAAGAAAGAGAAAAAAAGAAAAAAGGAAAAAAAGTAAAGAAGAAAAAGAGAGAGAGAAATGAGACGTGAGAATTTCCGTCAAAAAGAGACAGCTCACCCAGTGACCGGAATTTTCACCTCCCATCGTTGATTTTCACTTCTAACCTAAATATATACATATATTCTCAATATTCTCAATGCCGCTAATAAACCGTACAAGACACCTTAAATCCTCCTCGTCTTGAGAATTCTTTTTTTTCTATCTTTCTTTTTTTCTTTTCCCCCCAAAATAAAAATAAATCACAAAATTAATAAAGAAACAAATCACCTGATTGTTTAAAGTTCACCGGTTCTTTCTTTTTTTGCCTCTTTAGTGTAACTGCGTGGTGACATCGAGATCTATAACATTTTATAGTGATGTAATAGTGCTAAGAACAGGCTTCAAAGAGATATAAACTTCCCGAGGAGTGTGAGTGAAAAAGATGACAGTGTTCTGATCTTGAACGAAAAACGACGGTAAGGATTTTTTATCGGCTATTTTGAATATAATACATATATACAATATACATATAACTAAAACATCGTATGTATTACAAAAGTATAATTATTTGGGAATTTCTGTTTTTTTATTATTATGGATTCAAAATTTTAATTGAAATTCATTTTTACGATAAAATTATGCTAATCAGTTTTTTTTAAACTTCAGAAATTTCAAGAAAAGGGAAAATAATTTTATATTTCAATCTAGAGATGAAATATTCTTTTGAAAATAATTATTAAACACCTATTTTTAAATAAAAAATTTTTTTTTATTATTAGAAAATAATTTTTCCCGCCTACTTTTGTAAATAAATTAATAAATAATAAATTAATTAATTTAATAAATAAATTAATAAATTATTTCATTTTTTAAAAAAATTCTTTAAGATCCTTACTAAATTAATTAATATTATTATTCCAATTAAAATTATAATCATTATCAATTTTTTTATTACAATTTTTCTTATTTTTTGTTTTTTCTTCTTCCTCTTCTTCTTATTAATATTATTATTATTATTTATTACATTATTTTTTAATTACGAAAAATTAATCAAATGTACAAGAAAGTAAAAAAAATAAATATTTTATATAATAATAAATAATGATTCATAGTAATGTTTATTATTAAATAACTATTGCTTGTAACAATTGAAAAAAATGTGTGAAATTAGAAAATATAAAAATAAGTATTTAATATTTACAACAGTTATAAAATAATAATTGAATTTTGTAGTTTTATAATAATAAATACTTAATAATAATAATAATAATGATGGCTTTATCGAATTATTAATAATAATAATTGAACAAAACTTTATCAATTAGAGTTTAATAAATATTTGTTATTTAAAATAAAAATAAATAAATAAAATAATAATAATAATTATTAATTTATTATTATTATAATAATTATAAAAAAATAATATAAATATTTATAATAATAATTAAAATTGATTGTCCCGTTTACAAATAAATAAATAAACAATTAAAATAGGTATTAAAAATAGAAAATTAACAATAAAACTAAATTATAATAAATTAAGAGTTTAAATGAATAAAATAAATAATAAAAATAAAATTTTTGAAAATTACTAAAATTAGAAAATTTAGTCTAACAGAATATATTTAAAAAAAATATATATTTTCTGAATAAAAAATAAATATAATTATTGTCGAAAAAATTGAAGAAGTTAAAAAAAGCAACTAATTATTAGTTTAAATTTAAATTTTACTTACTTTAAAAAATAACTAAAATTACTAATAAAACTAATTACTTGTAGAAGAAACGAAAAGTTAATTATTTATCTACTAAGAATTAATTTCTTTCAAATAACAATTAGTTTGTTCTTTACTAATACGTTTATTTTTATCACTAATTAGTAATGTTAAGGGGATTTGAACCTTGATGACGTCACAGTTTGTGCAAAGCATTAGTTTTAAATCTGTGACGTCATCATGGTTCAAATGCCCTTAACTAATAATTATTTAGTTTTACACTAAAAGTACCACTATTAATTTTACTAATGGTATTTTTGACAAATAATTAATTACTTTTTTTTTACTAGCAATTAATAATTCTTATTACTAATTATTGGTAATTTTTACTAATAATTTTGTAGTTGTTTATTACGAAACAAATAATTAGTTACTTTTTAACTAATTTATTTATTATTAATATTTAATTATTCATTTACTTAATAATTATAATTTTTTTACTAATAGTTATTGAACTTTTACTAGTAATTTTGTAGTTTTTTATCAATAACTAATAATTAGTAACTTTTTTACTAATAATTTTCAAAATTTTTACGATTAGTTATTTTAACTCTTTTACTAACAATTAGTAAAATAATTAGTAGTTTTAGTAATTGGTAAAATTAATTTATTAATAATTAGTTATTTTTTCCTAATAATTATTGTATTTTTTAACTAATTTAATTTTAATTTGCAACTATTAGAGAAAAGATTAGTAATTACACGGAAAAAAAAAGTACGTGAATTTTTCATTGACTCGGTACTTGACTTTTGGATACGACACAAAATACTAAAAACAGTCTAGTACTTTTGCATGAGAGTTTCAAAAGCAGTCAATGAAAATTTCGAGTACCTTGCTTGAGAATTTCATTGACTTTCAAAAAAACTGTAAAATAAAAAAAATAATTTCCACTTGTTCACACCGTTTTTCTGAAATTCACTCATTCATTCACATATTTGGATAATTAATCACACAAACAAAGAACAATTATTGTATCACTTTTCGACGTTCGTCAACACTTATGAACTAACCTATAACACACATATATATTCGCGTATAACTTAAATATAAACACACACTTAACACTTAAAAGTACGTATCGAATTGTTCTTATATACCACATGGTGAAATTTTTCACGACTTTTGAGACATGCTATTTCACTGAAAACTGAGACTTACATAACATTCTGTTTTGTGAGAAACACAAAACAAGAAATATTTTTTTGAAAGTCAATTCTTGAAGACAAATATATATTAACACTATTTGTTTTCATAAAATAATAGTATATTCACATCTGAAATTAACACAAACGGAAACAGACGATCAGCTGGCATTTACCTTGGGTAGAAACGCGCAACGCACACTGCGCATGCTCTACAGAATTTTCAAGCGCAGTCAACTAATCTTTCACGTACTTTATAAAACTGAACAAATGACTTTTCGTTAAAATTTAAAAAACACTGTTGCCCATACTAGTACTAAAATAACTCTAGGACTTTTCTATATTTTCTAATAAAAAGTATATGATACAGCCTTGTACTTTGTGTTCTATCCAAAAGTCAAGCACTTTCAAGGAAGGATTCACGTACTTTTTTTTTCCGTGTATTAACAGATTGCCAAAAATACAAGTCAACCTCGATTTCACTAATAATGACTATTTGTTAATTAATTCTAATTTAAATAATGAATATGAATACAGTGAAATTATTATTGACGAAATATTATGTTAGAAATGTCACAAGTTACCTCATATAACCAAAAAGAAAAAAAAACCCACTTCAAGAAGGTTTCAATTTTTATGGAGTGAAAGTGTCTCGTCAAAATTTCACCTCCTGGCCATTAATTTTCTTTCACTTTCATTGATGGCACTTCGTAACTTTTTTTTCTACTAATTGGAAATATTTCACCAAAAAAAAGCTCCAGTGTTTAATATCAAATTTTACTTACTTTCTTTTTTTCTTTCTTTTTTAAACACTAATAATAACAATTTTTTGTAAGAAAAAAAAATTTGTAGGTACTTATTTAAAAAATAAAAAATTCTTCCCGACTAATTTTAATTCTCTGCTTTAAATAAAGACCGTTATTTGACCGTTATCTATATTCTACACTGAAGGCCAACGCAGAATAAGGCTATTCAAGTTGGGTGGGGGAAAATTCAAGATGGATGCTAACTGGTGCACCAACATTGTATAGAAAGTGTATGGGATAGAGTCTAATTTTTTAAATATCTCGCTTAAACGAAATTTTTAACCATAAGTTTATTAGGATTTTATGTTTCATTTTTAAAGAACTATTTTTTGCAATAATAAAATCAATAAAAAAATAAAATCGATTTTTATTATTGCAAAAAATAGTTCTTTAAAAATGAAACATAAAATCCTAATAAACTTATGGTTAAAAATTTCGTTTAAGCGAGATATTTAAAAAATTAGACTCTATCCCATACACTTTCTATACAATGTTGGTGCACCAGTTAGCATCCATCTTGAATTTTCCCCCACCCAACTTGAATAGCCTTATAGATCTGTAACCGGAACCGCAATCGTAAGCGTTACCGTAAGAATGAGTTAAAGAAGGATAGGTATATTGTTTATCCTTCTCTAACTCATTCTTTCGGTTACGCTTACGATTGCGGTTCCGGTTACAGATCTATTCTGCGTTGGCCTTGAAGGCAGAATAAGGGTTTTTCTACAATAAGTTTTCTTTTGTCGAATATTACCATTCTAAGGTAATACACGGAGAAAAATTATTTTTAATGATTACAATAGTCTACATTACAGCGCGGATATGTGACCACTTTTTGGAATGATTACGAAGACTATGTAATGTGTTAAGAATTTAGTAGGAACGATTACTATAGCTGTTGTAAGGGATACCTTCACGTTTGTACTCCTTACAACAGCTATAGTAATCATCACAAAAAGTGGTCACATATCCGAGCAGTAATATAGACTATTGTAATCAGTACGAATAAATTTTTCTCCGTGTATAGTAATCTACTTTATCGACTTAGACGTATTTTTCGAAATCAAAAATTGAAAAGAGATTTATTTATTTTTTTATGTGGATAATATTTTGACTCACCTGTTTGAAAACTTTTCACGAGATTCTTTTGCCGGGGACTGTCTCACACTACAATTCTTCAATAAACAAAATTCTGCCTTCCAACATCTTCCTTTATCACTGTTCCGATTTCAACTTAACTGGAAAATTATTTACACTTCTTTTAATAATTTAAAAAAAAATTAAATTACCGTTATTAATAAATTTAATTTTATTTATTAATACAGTCAGGTCTCCCTATAAGTGTCGTCCACTGATTTCTTTATTTATAACTGGATAGCGTATTCCTATACTTCGAGCTTAGAAATATTGTGACCAATAGAAGGCTGGAAGGCCATTTTACGAAGCAGTGAGTTTCTCACTTTGCAGCGCGAAATTCGAATGCGCTTGAATAAAACATATTCTTTAAAATGTGCAGATTGAAAAAAAAACAAAAACAAATTATTTTATTTAAATGTATTATCAAAATTAAAATTTTTAGGTTAAAGTATTCATAACTTTAAACTAAAAATTTTAAACTTTTAACCAAAAAACGATCTATTGATCGTCACAAATATAAAAACAAATAAGATATGCATACAATTATTACAATTATAGCAGTAGATTTTCTTTTACAATGGAAAAACATAATTTTGTATTACACTTAACCAAAAAATTAAAAGTAAATTTTATTTTACAATGAAAAAAAATAAAATGTATTATATTTAACTGCTTTCACAGTTTAACCTTTCGCCCCACCCAGTGAGAAATTGCCAATAGACTTTAATCGGTCCAATATCGGTCCAATATTGGTTGCCGTGCTGGGCGCCGATTGACTCCCAATATTGGACCAATATGGGCTGATGCTTGGGATGTAACGGGTTCGCCAAGCATCGGTTGTTAATATTGGTCCAATATTGGCCGAATATTGGCAACCAAGAGAGAAAAATTTTTTTAAATAAATTTTTTTTAATTAAATAATAATAATAAAAAATTAATGTTTATAATTTTTGTTTAATATATTTATTTGTTTAATTATTTATTTTTAATAATTCATGTAAATAATAAATAATTTATTATTTATAAATTATAATTATTTAAAAATGCAGCAACTATTAGGAAATAATCGAAATAGCATTCTGCAAAAAAATTCTATCATTGAAAAATCAATGATAGGCGAGAGAAATCCGCGTCTTTAAATAGATTCGCAGATGATAGACAAGAGATATCCGCGTCATTAAACGGATTCGCAGATATACTCTGGTCTCGCGACGAATCTCTCGATACTTATATACACTGGAGTCGCCGTGTCAGTTGCGAGAACGGTTACAGCGTCCCTCTTGCGGCAGAGATAAGAATTGTCACGTAAACTGCGGGTATAATAAGGCGGTCGGTAAAGCGATTTAGCAGTTTACGTGACAATTCTTATCTCTGCCGCAAGAGGGACGCTGTAACCGTTCTCGCAACTGACACGGCGACTCTAGTGTATATAAGTATCGAGAGATTCGTCGCGAGATCAGAGTATATCTGCGAATCCGTTTAATGACGCGGATATCTCTTGTCTATCATCTGCGAATCTATTTAAAGACGCGGATTTCTCTCGCCTATCATTGATTTTTCAATGATAGAATTTTTTTGCAGAATGCTATTTTCTAATAGCTGCTGCATTTTTAAATTATTATAATTTATAAATAATAAATTATCTATTATTTACATGAATTATTAAAAATAAATAATTAAACAAATAAATATATTAAACAAAAAAATTATAAACATTAATTTTTTATTATTATTATTTAATTAAAAAAATTTATTTAAAAAAATTTTTTCTCTTGGTTGCCAATATTCGGCCAATATTGGACCAATATTAACAACCGATGCTTGGCGAACCCGTTACATCCCAAGCATCAGCCCATATTGGTCCAATATTGGGAGCCTTTATTGGACCGATGATCGGTCTCTTGGCTCCCAATATTGGACCGATATTGGACCGGTGAGAAATTTCTCACTGGGCAGTCTCCCCTAAAAACTATTAATTGAAAAATAACTTCCACACTATATACTGAAGAAGTAATTTGTGTAATATTAAATTAAATTTCTATCTAAGATAAACTTAAACATTATTAATACACTGCAAGCCCGATCAGCGGTCAGCTCCGGGGGTGCTTGACCGCTGATCGGGCGTAAACATATAGGACCGTACGAACTGTTTTATGATGGGGTACTATTACTTGACTACTAAATTTTTTTTTAAGGGGCCAGAGCGTCTTTAATGTATACGCTACTGCCACAACTTTTCGACTCCCTCATGGCCCCTCGCCCGCCCCATCTACAAACGATGTAAACAAGCGACCACTGATCGGGTGACCGCTGATCGGGCTTGCAGTGTATATTAAAAATACATAACCTTTCTTTTTGGGAAAACATTAAAATAAATCACTAAACTTTGAATTTTTTCGTTACAAATAGTAGAAAATGTAGATATAGAAATATAGAAACGTTTCATAAGATATATAACAAAATGTTTTTTCAATTTTTAAATCAAATTTTTGTTTTAATGGTGTTTCGCAGTGATCGCCTTTTAAAAATGGCTGCTCAAATGTATACTTGATTTAAAAATGATTTTTCTCCTAATTCGGGCAATTATTGGAAAATCGGAGAAAATACAAGATATCCTGAATATTTTATCTTTTATTTGCGCGCAAGAAGTAAAAGATTTATTTAGATTTACAACGACAGGAAGTAAAATAGGAAAAAGTTAAACAAATGCACGATACATAAAATTACCACCAGAGGGCACCACCTAATGGGCACATCTAATTTTCTCATTTTACTTCCTGAAGTCGTGTATTATATTGAATTTTCAATTTCTTGTGCACAAATGAAAGAACAAAATTTCAGGATAACTGGTATTTTTCCCTATTTTGTAATAATTGTCCAAATTGGGAGAAAAATCCTTTTCAAATTATGTTTACGTTCAAGCAGCCATTTTTAAAAGGCGACCACTGTTTGAAATTGCGCAACACCGTTAATAAATACATAACCTTCAAAACATAATATGTACACTTATTACTTGTGAAATAATTTGTCACAAATTTTAGTTTGCTCTTCACTATAATGACTGAAATTATACTGGGGAATTAGTACTGAGAGCTCAGTGCAATTTTAGTGAAAATTTGCTGCGTTTCAGCACTGAAATTGTACTGGGAAAAATTACCTGCAAAAGGGTCGCTATCGGTGATGTTTATGGCTTGACCGTCATTAGGTTGAAGGACGAATATTTCTTTGTTAATGTTAAAAATAATTTTTATTTATATTTCAACATTATATTTGTTTTTCATGAACTCAGATTCTTTATAAGTAATTATTATGTATGCTAAATATTCATGTTAATCTAAATTCAAAAATAATATCCGTTTTTACGTAACAATTAGAGTTTGCGAGATAGTTTATAACTTTTTTAATTAAACATTTTTTATAATAAATTTTAGATATTTGTAATCATAAAACATCACAGATTAAAATTTTTTTGTTTTGAAAATTGAATTATTTAAATTGTGAACTTTTTAAGCCATAAAATTATAATCCCATACAACAATAGGCTTTCGGGTCTATTGTTAAAGCAGGGGTTGCAATATAAGTTTAGAATTTAACGGGAATTTCGTTGAAAATTTTGTTAACCTTTTTTTATTTTCACTTCTAAACTGTTAACAATGGTTTGTTGACATAACCTACATTTGAAACTATTGTTAAAGGACTTTAAAAATGTCTACCGAAACATTTAAAAAAACGGACTGAAATTGTACTGGAGGCCAGTACAATTTCAGTACTTTTTCAGTCCATTCTTCCGGCAGGGCATCGTGCAATTATTTTTTAAATTAATTATAAAGCAATGTCAATTAATAACTGCAAACAAAAACAAATTCATTTTCAAAAACACATTACACAGACTGTAAATAGTAAACAAACGCAGACATTTTTTGCATTCTGCGCAATCGCGAACGCCATATTTGAGAAACTCACTGCTCAGTAATATGGCGTTTAGTCGTTCAATTTGTCACAACCGGAAATAGCCCTATACTACATCCAGTTATATATAGAGATCAGTGGTACGTTAGGGTTGAGCAGTTGTCGAAAAATACCGACGGAAACATTAGGGTGACATCACACATCAGCGACAATTCCAAACCACTAAATCTCTAATATCTAAAATTTTCTACCTTTTTTCTTACAGGTAATCTTTGAAAACAAAAAAATCTCATCATGTGGCCCAAGGATGTTGGCATTAAGGCGATGGAGCTTTATTTCCCGGCGCAATACGTCGCGCAGGAGGATTTGGAGGAATTCGACGGTGTCTCGGCCGGCAAATATACAATTGGCCTGGGACAATCACGAATGGGTTTCTGTACCGACAGGGAGGATATCAATTCCCTTTGTTTAACAGTCGTCAGTCGTCTAATGGACAGATATCAAATAAATCCCAAGGACGTTGGTCGTCTTGAAGTTGGCACCGAGACAATTCTTGACAAGAGTAAATCGGTAAAATCAGTTCTCATGCAATTATTCGAGCCCTCAGGCGCCACTGATATTGAAGGAATTGACTCTACCAATGCCTGTTACGGTGGCACTGCCGCATTATTCAACGCAATTGCCTGGGTGGAGAGCAGCGCCTGGGACGGTCGTCTCGCGATTGTCGTTGCCGCCGACAATGCCGTTTATGCAAAAGGTAATTCCTTTTTAGCCCAACAGAAAAAATTACGAAATTTTTTTTGACCGACAGAGCAACACTTGTGTGTTTGTTGGTAAAAGTAAATAAAAATATGGTAAAGAGGTGTTCTTCTTTATCGATCTCGAGTGTCAAATGCGAAGGAGAAGAGGACAGAGATGTACTGCTATCCTTTTCTATCTCGTGCATAACGTTCGCTGGCGATTTCCAAGGAACTATTTAATATTTCGCTTCAGAAAACAAACGAATTCGCTTCGAAAATTTACAGATAATTCTAGATATCATCAAATGGGGAAAATATAAGTGAAAATAAAAATTATTTTTTTTTGCAGGGAGTGCAAGACCAACGGGAGGAGCCGGAGCAATCGCCATGGCAATTGGACCAAATGCGCCTCTAGTTTTCGATAGAGGACTCCGTGCATCGTGCATGCGACACGCTTACGATTTCTACAAACCCGATCTTCGCTCCGAATATCCTGTGGTCGATGGAAAACTCTCAATTCAATGCTACCTCAGCGCCCTCGACACATGCTACGAACGCTACACGTCAAAGGCAAAAACCAAAAACAACGACACAATCTCCCTAAAGAGTTTCGACTCAATGCTCTTTCACTCGCCCTATGGAAAACTAGTTCAAAAATCATTCGCCCGTCTTGCCTTTGTCGATTTCCTCCAACTCCCCCAGGACGAGTCGACAAAACGCTTTCCCCATTTGACAAAATTCCAAAATGCCAAGTTAGAAACAACATATTTCGATCGTGACATTGAGAAGGCATTTCTCGACGTCAGCAAACAGGATTATGAAAAAAAGACAAAACCAAGTTTATTTGTGGCGAATCTAGTGGGAAATATGTACACGCCATCCGTTTATTCGGGACTCGTCTCACTATTGATAAGTAAACCAATTGAGGAACTCGCTGGTAATAAAGTGGGAATATTCTCCTATGGTTCGGGTCTAGCGTCCAGTATGTATTCCATGAGAATTACCGACAATTGCGCAAAAAGTTCAGAATTGGCGCGACTCATTGATAATCTTAAATACGTGAGGGAACAATTATCGGCGCGACAACAAATTTCGCCCGATGATTATACGAGAATTCTCGATCTAAGGGAGAAGAATTGTCACGTTGTGCCGTATGAACCACGCGAAACTATCGAACACATGTTCCCTGGAACTTATTATCTCGTTAAAGTCGACGAACTATACAGGCGAACATACAAAAGAGTTCCCGTCGAAAAATAAAAAAAACGTTAAAATCACAAAAAAATAGTTAAATTTGTTCGAGAAAATTTTGAAAAAATCCACAATCTCGTATAGGCAATAAAATAAATTCAATTCTGTTTTACCGACACAACACAGATCGTAAACTCGAAGGAAAATTTGAATCCGACTCGAAGATACCATTTTGAAACCCCCTTTAATTTACTTTTTCCTATACATCCCCCCTCCTCAAGAAAATGACTTTTCGTTCCCAGTTTCCCCATCTGGAAAATTGTAAATTTAGTAAAAAATATTATAAATTTAATTTTCGCGCGCCATGTGAATTTCTACTTTACCGACAGTACACAGATCAGAAACTCAAAGGAAAATTTGAAACACCTGAGAATTTCCACATTGAAACCACTTAAAATTACTTTTACTTTTACATCGCTCCCCAAGAGAACGACTTTTCGTTCGAATTTCCCATCTAGAAAATTGTAAATTAAGTAAAATTTTCAAAAGTCAAATTAAATTTCGCGCCACATGTGAATTCCTACCTTACTGACAGTACATAGATTGGAAATTCCAAAGGCCTAATAAATACTTTCCCTGTCCTTTTAGAGTTATAAATATTACGAGATTTGGAAATTGAAAAAAAAAACAAAAAAAAAACAAAAAAAAATTTACTAAGTTTTTTTTTATCTAGCGAAAATTTAACTACTTATTACCGAAAGTGCCGAATCGATATGATTCACATTTCGGTTTTTTCTATTCATAGCAATGTGAGGAATTTTGCAAAAATTTTAAATTTAAATAAATTTAAAAAACTTTAGTCAGTAATTTGAATTCTTATATAGATAAAAGTGTTTAGAGGTTAAAATTAAAAGAAAAAATTGTTTTTAACCAATTTAAAAAAATTTTTAAATCAACCAAATTAATTTTTAGTACGAATCGAAAAATATTTTAATAATAATTTTAAAAAATAAAATCTCTAAAATTAAATACCAGTTTTTACAAGTTTCGAAAAATAGTTTTTTTTCGTAAAATAAGACTTTCAATTTTTTCTTTATACGAATTTGTATATGATATATAAGCGAAAAAAGGTGCCTTTCTGCAAAAAAAAAGCTTTTTAGCTGGCATTTATATTTGTAGTTTCTACTTTTTTATAAACAGAAACAAAAATCAAAGACCAAATGTAGTGTAAATATTGTTAACTCCTTTCTATGTTTAACTAATTTTCTGGCAATCACATTCAAGTATTTTTTATTTTATTCAAAATACCTTGATTTGATGATAAAGTAGAAAACTTTTTTTTAAGGATTCCTAATAAAATAATTATTATAAGTTTTGAAGCAAGTGTACAAAAAAAAACAAAAAATATATTTTACATGTTTTTGGTGAAGGTTTTTGTAAGAATAATTATGTTAAATTAAAAAAAAATTCTGTAATATTTAAATGTTTAATAAAATATGATGATTTGTTGAAAATTTGTGACATTATTAATATAATAATAATTTTTAAACTTTTATATATAATTATATATTTTTTTGTATTTTATAATTGTGAATAATATTTTTTTTATTAAAAAAAAGTTAATTCAATGATTATATAATATAAAGAATTTATATTTTAAGGCTATGCTAACAATAGATTTCTTTTGTTCTTCTGATGAATATTATTATACTCACAAAACAGTCTATTTAAATAAAAAGAAATCTTTTTACTATAAGCGGATTTTCCTTTTAATATTTGTCTAAGAGGAATTCCTTTTCTATTAAAAGGAAATTCCTTTATATTATATCCTTTAATTATTATATAAATGATTTTTGTTTACTATTAAAAAGAATCATTTTATCAGTAGTTTTATTTATTTTTATTGTCTGTGATTCATTAGTTTATATTTATCTAATTGTAATAATAATTTTTTTATTTGGGACTCAAATTTATGAAATATTTGAAATTAAATTTAATTTCAAATAAAATAATAATAGCATAAGTCTGCAAATAATAAATTGATATAGGCAAATAAAATATATAAAAAGAAGAACTAAATTTCTTTTATCATAATTTCCATAATATTATAACCTTTTATCAATTTTAAAAATTTCAAAAAGTTATGAATTAGATACTACATTTTTTAATTAATTAAATTACAGTTTTCGAATACATAAATAATTATTATAATTATCCAAAATTGACAATATTTTATTTAAATTTTGTATTTTGTTTATTTTATTAAAATAATAATTTAATTTTTATTATTATTATTAATCATTAAATTTATTTGTGCAGATTACCTTTGCATTATATAAAGAGTAAATAAACTTTTTTTATTTTAATATTTTAATTTGTTTACAAACGTCAAATCACGTGAAACTATATCCTTTTTACATAAAAGGATTTCATTTAAAAATCAAAAGAAATCAGAACGTTTTTCTTTTTTCCAATGAACTTCTAACCTTATTATATTCGAAAAATCCCTTTTACAATAAAACTATTTCTGCTAACGATTAAAGGACATAATTTAAAAGGAAATTAGTTTTATGTTGAATAGATCATTTTTGTGAGTGTACAATAAAAATATTTTACTTTTATTTATATTCTTATATTATGTTCAACACACAATAATGACATAAAAAATGCTATTGTGGACTTGCAACCTTAAAAAGCTGTTTATATTTTGTTGTTTCTTAATTTTAAATATAAATAAATGAAAAGAATACAACGTAAAGTTTTTGCTTTTTGATTAAATAGCGCCTCAGACGGTCTTCGGCCGTCTTCGTTGCTTCTGTTCCATGTTTATTTTTGTTCAATTTTTAAAATTTCTAATGTTAATTTTTTCAATTTATGTTTTTTTAAATAGAATTCCATTTTATTAAAAATATTTTTTTTAAGTATAAAATTTTCTATTAATTTAATTATATTTTTAATTTGAAATTATATGTTATTTATTATATGTGGTCGTCCACATGAAAAGGGCCCATATTGTCGGTTCTAGTTTTCGAGATAATCGCAATTTAGTAATTTTGGAGCAAAATCTTAATTTTTTTTTATTTTTTATTATCAATCTACATGTTTTGACAAGTCAAATCATGCGGTTTTCATTAATTTACCAAGAATTTAACTGTTTGATTTCATTGGTTCTTTATAAAAATGAGGTTTTGGCGTTCTAAACTTTGAAATTCCGTAATTCAACGAATTTTTAATCAAAAAAGTTCTAAGACCACTCAAAATTTTCCAAATTTTGCCAGGAATACGCCCATATGTGACTGTCCGCGACAAAAGGGACCTTAGCTCCCAATAGTGAATTCTGCAGGAAAGGCGATTGAAGTAGTGCGTCTCTGATTGGTGGAGACGTTCTACTAGAATTCAGCCCCACTACTCACTACACATTGATATTTGTCCGCGTTACACGAAGCGCACAAATTGTATGTAGATGACCAGTGCAGTTGTATTGAAAAGTAGAGGGGCTGCTTTTCTGAACAACCACGTGTAAACACTCAACAAGCTCATTTTTAAACATTAATAACAAAAAAATCTATAAGTAAAAATTATTTTTGATGCTTGTATGTGAAAGAGCAACTCAATAAATATTGAATAATATACATAACTCGAAATTAATTTTTTCGGACCTAAGGTCCCTTTTGTCGCGGAACGTCACATATAGATAACTCCAATAGTGCCAAAATGGGCCCTTTTCATATGGACGTCCACATATTATTTATTTAGTAGTAAAATAATAATTTCAATGTTATTACATTTAGTATCATCTTTGGTAACTTAAGGTAGTAGTCGCGCTGCTGGCTCTGGCCAAAAGTTTACCGGGCTGCTTACTAGAGTGGGGCAGTGAGAGTGAGAGAGACAGTTTAACTCCGTACTCTATTCGTTCGTATGAAAATTCGTATAATTTAGTTATTTTTTTAACTTTCTGTCAATATATTTATAGTTTGGTGCGGTCAAAAAATGTCATGTTTTTTCTATTCATTTGTATCATCTAATTGAATACTTTGGTAGTTTTATTTCAAAATCTGACGATTAGTTATCATATAAATAATTATTAAACAAAATTAATACATGCATTGGGTGCTCCCTCCATGCAAAATGTATGAACTTTGAATTTATTTTTTTAAGCTTTGAAACGGTCAAAATTAATGAAATTGGTCTCATTCTGTAGATAAATACTTCAGGAATAAGTATGCAAAATTTGAAAAAAATCTGACGAAAACCATTTTACGCGACTAATACCTTAACAACAATAATAATTTTTACTTCATTTGTTTAAATGTTAATAATTTTTTTTAACTTATACATATTTTTTTTTGTATTTTATAATTATATAATTACAATATTTCTTTCAATTTTCAAAGCAAATTAATGTAAATGACCATAATATACTTTATGTTTTAAGGCATATGCTCACAATAGGTTTCTTTTGTTTTTCTGCTATAATGGTTGGAGGACTAAAGTTCCAAAACAGAAGTTCCAATGAAAAAAAGTTCAAAAGATTTTAATTTCCAAAGACTGAAAGTTCCAAAAGTTCTTTTTTTCAAAACTTTTTTTCTAAAGACCACAATATTAGTCATAATATTGTCTTTTAACTTTCTCTCCCTATTCATATTTGTCTCTTTCATACATTTTTTGAATCATTAATGTTTTTTAAAATTTTTGTACTTTTTGCTTCCTCATAAAGGAAGCCTTATAGTGATGTCGATTTCCGAATTTTTTAGAACCAATTATTTTTACAAATTTTCAAGTGTAGTATATATAATTCGTCGAGAGGAACAAATGTCCGGATGTATGTGTGTATGTATGTGTGTGTGTGTGTGTGTATGTCACCGATTCTTGTGGACAAATTTTCTCTTACACGTCTTGACGGATTTTGATAAAATTTTGTAGGTGCCCAGGCGCGAAAAACCAGTGCTGACGATGGGTGGAGCTTCAACATCCAGTCTTTATTCAATCTTGAATCAATCTTGATAGTTTATTTATTACCGTGTGCACTTACCAATATTAGATATAAATTAGATATAAATATTTATAAATTATTTAATATTAAAATATTATTTCTGATATTTTTTAGTAATTTTTTATACTATTTAAAAATTATTATTCTTATTATTAATTATTATTAAATAATATAATAAGTATTATTATTATTATTATTAAGATATCAATTGGTAAATAAATATTATTATTTATTTAGTGTATAATATTTATATTAATTATATAAGATTCATATCAATAAAGTTAAATTATTATATATTATATTTTTTTTCTTGCACAGTGTCAAATTATTATTTCAAAGTTCAAGAGTTTCGTTTATCTGAAAAATTTTCAGTGAAAAAAATGTTCATTAGGTAGTAATAAATATTTATGCCTAGTAGTTTTACACTAGGTTTAACTGTTTACTGAATATTATCAAAAATATATTTTTCGTCAAACGCGCGCGACTAAACACAAATAACCTTGAGACTTTACAGCGTGACGTTGCGATTGTCGTGCTCCCACCATCCCATCTACTCAATACACTCCCCGCCTGTGACGTCATGAGGGGAAAGCATTGAGTAGATGGGATGGTGGTATTTGTGTTTAGTCGCGCGCGTTTGACGAAAAATATATTTTTGATAATATTCAGTAAACAGTTAATCCTAGTGTAAAATTACTAAGCATAAATATTTATCACTACCTAATGAACATTTTTTTCACTGAAAATTTTTCAGA